TCCTATTAGGTGCTTCAGGCGCCCGTCAGGAGAGACTGCGCCCGCGCTACACCTCATGGGCCGGCCCAACAGGAGAGATTCGCTACGCTCAGGAATCTCTATGTTCGCTGGTTCACTTTGTCCGTTGGTGCGGGGCGACGGCTGCAGCTTGCCGCATGTCTGCTCGCTAGGGTTAAAGGCATGGAGCTTCGTGGTTCGGTTCCTGTACTGACGGCCGCTCCTGTTGGTGCCTGTGCCCGTGTGTGTGTGAGAGCCGTGGAGTAAATGTGCTGAGACTTGAGACATGCGAGCTAGGCTAAGCATGAACGGTATCCATAATCACGTTCCCCTTTCTCCCCCGCGTCGCCCACTCGCGCGACAAGGGGGACGAACCCTAGCCGCCGCGCCGTCAGGCTCACCTCCCCCTCTCTTCCTCGCCGCCGCCTGAGGCAGCCGCCGGGCAAGCCCGGGGCGCCAAGGATGGTGGCAGCGGTGCCTCAGATGCCCTGCCTCTGCGTGGGGAGTCCCGGATCTGGAGCGGCGGCTCCTTTGGCGAGGCACGACAGGCTCCGACGAGCAGCCTTGCGGGCGGTGGATCTGGCGTCCTGCCGGCGTGGGCGGCGGGATCTCGGTGGTCGTTGGCGGCTGGCGGCGGCTTCTGCGGTGGCCGATGCGCGCGATCGGGCGCCTCCCCTCTCCTCCCCTGTTCGGCGTGCGGGCCAGCCTGGTCGGGCCGCGCTTTCCTTGGTCGCCGGTTCTGTACAGGAGGCGCTGCTGGTGGCGGGGATCTAGTTCGGGCGAAATCCCTGGCCGGCCATGGCCGGGCGCGCCGACGGCAACGTCTGAGGGCGTCGTTCCCCTCCTTGGAGGCGTCGGTATGGACTGATCTCCTCACTTCCCCTTCCCCTAGGTCTCCCGGGCAAAAGCCCTAAATTTGTTGGGTGGTGGCGGCGCTCACGGCGTCGTTCCCTTCTTGAAGGCACCGCTTTGGAAACCTTGGGGTTGGGTTGGTCGGGGCCTCCGGCTCTAGATGTTAGGCTTAGGTGAGAGGTGTGGGTATGTGGTCCAGCTTTGCACCCCTTCATCATATGGATAGGAGTAGCGGTAAACGTTGCCAAGATGACGGATTCATGCATATTGTTGTTCTACTTTGTAAGATCCTCGAGAATAATCAATAAAATGGTCGCATGCATCTTCCAGATGCAGAGGCCGGGGGTCATTCTCCTTCTCTAAAAAAAAAGGCTTGAGTCAGTTTAAGTCTGCTTAGTAGACTCGCCTCCGTATATATATTCGTATGTAGTTTCTATTGAAATCTTTAAAATGGTCAGCCTGGTTTGCGTGGCTCAGCTGTCCACTCTCTGAATGCAAAGGACCAACTCAACTCAACTCAACTCACTGCGAAGCGAATTCAGAAAAATGAGAAGGAAGCTCAAAATGCAGCTAGCACGTCACAGTAATATGTACGAGAAACATGTGGCTTTTTATACTTTATATAAGCTGCGAACATCATCAACAAATTCTCACGTACGTACGTACGTACGGTGTGAACTGATTAATTGCGCGTACACATGGAGCATCAACACTTCTTTGACCTTTCCAACTTGCAAGTCTTCGTGCCTGTCTGTGTTCACCATTTGAATGTCTTCCTGCAGAGGACACGTACGTACTAACGTTTTCAGATTCAGACATGACCAGGCTTGTGGAATCAATAATTAAAGGTAGGGGGAGACTTGACCTGAGCTTAGGCGTGTCTGTATTCTGTACCAATGGCGGCTGCCACTCCATGGTCGGTTTACACCTGACCTGTGAGTGAGGCCTTCAACGTCGTCGATGCATGGGACGGCTAACAGTAGACGCAGAGAGAGCAAGACTACTACTCTCCAAGCAAAGCACATTTCTAGTTTCATTTTGGGCCATGGATGGGTGTTTCACATCGTAATTTTGACCCAATCTTCTAAAATCACTGTGGGTTGCTTGGATTGCCGTCGACGAGAAACAGTTGATTGCATAGGTGTGCCCCCCTTCCCTCCCACCCCCTTTATTTTTCCTCGCTCGAACCAAATGAAGGTTACCTCCATCCTAAAAGCGTGTGTTTTAGATCTGTATATGGATATACACATATCTACAACAACTAAAACATGTCTAGATACATACGTATCTCGACAAATCTAAGACAAGTAATTTGAGACGGAGGAAGTACAATATTAACAAGTCAAAGGCATATGCCGCCGTCGTCGCCCCTCCCTCGTCGGAGCCGGCCAAACCTTTTTGTAGTAAACAACCCGAAAGCCGTCGTGCTAAGGCCCCAAAGGACCAACACACCAGCACATAGCTGCGTGAAGGCAGACATGGAGAGAATAAGCGCAGACATGGAGAGAATAAGCTAATGATGTGGGTGTCAGCGAGGCTTCGCCATGGGGACAAAATTTCTGTTCTAACCTTTTGTGCTAACAAAATCAAGAATTGACCTCGTTTGCGAAGAAATTTTGAATCTGACCTTTTTTGGTCATGCCAACATCTTTGGCGTTTGGCTGGCACGGAAGACGCCGGAGTTGGTGGCGTTTGGCCCTGGCCCACACTAGCTTAGCTGGCGCTGAAGTGGCACGGCCAGACGCCATGTATCTTGGCGTTTGGGCAAACGCCATGAAGCCTGGCGTTTGGGTTCTTCCATTACGTAACAAGAAAATCATGTGACGCCTGTCTGATTATTCTCGTTTGATGTTGATTAGTGTGGTTGCTTAATCAGTGAGGAGGCAGAAAGCTAAAGTATCACGTCAGCCAGGAATCTGCGTTCTTTTAGAAAGACGTGCGGTTTGGATGGATTAATCTCATGTTAAGTGGCTGTGTACCTAAACTTATTTAGGGCATCTCCAACGCCGATCCGTAAACCTCCTGCTACCTACCGTCTGGACCGCGGAAGCTATCAATGTCGATTTGTATCGGTCTGTGGTGTGGTCCGAACGTGATTTCTCCCGCAAACCAGAGACAAAAGTGGGATAGATTTGCGGGAGTCCGGACCGATCTCAAGCCCATTGCTGACCGTCCTCGCCCACCAAAAACCCCTCCCGCCTCCCGCGCGTTTTTGGTCTGCGCCGCTCCAGACGGTCAGCGCCCGCATTCATGCCGGCCAGAGCAGACGCAACCGCTCACTGACACCGGCATTGAAGCGGCGCGCCGCCCGAGAGAGCGCCGCTCGCGCCGCATCCCATTGCAGGCAACTGTCACACGTTCAAACGACACGATGGCCGCCCGTTCGTTTGTCTGCCACCAGGATTGATGACACGCGATTGCCGAGTCTCCTCTGGCACCACTCGTCCGTCCCTCTGCCGCCTACCGGTGCTATAAAAATAGATGCCCCGATGCCCCGGTCATAGTCACAGTCATGCCTCTCAGCACCACTTCCCGCCATGGATCCCCCCCCTGCGGCCAAAGCTCTCTAGGACGGGCTGACGTCGGAGTAGAAGAAGGCCATGACCGCCATTACTGCCGACTGGCAGGTCGGCAGGCAGCCGGTGGATGCCTCCTCCGACGTGCCAGCGCCACCCTCCTCTTCCTCCGCGACACCCTCCTCCTCCGCTCCACCCTCACCAGTGCATTATTGCACCATGACCACCGACAAGGCCCGTGCCCACTATATGGACATGGTGCAGGGAGCGGGAGGGCCAGTTTTGAAAGGCGCAGGCCGACGCCAACTACAACCACAACCGATTCTAGGAGCATCTGCAGGCGGAGGAGTAGGTCACCGCCGGCAGGGCCGCCGGGGCGGACGAGGACCTGGTGGAGCAGGAAGCGCCACTTGAATCCTACCGCTCCGCCCGCGAGATACACCTCGCCCCGCTGGCGATACCGGCAACGGGTGGCGGAAGTTGCGGCCGCCTGCATGGAGTGCGATGACGAGGCGAGCGAGGCGTTGTTCGGCACCGCCAACAACGAGTAAGAGTAGTGCACAGTAGGTCATCACCATTCGTGTCCCAAAAAGGTCACCACCCCTCCCGTCCCGTCGACGCCAAGCTTGAGGGCGACATGGAGGCGGACAACTTCAATTCTTGTATAGAGGCGGCACGTGCGGGTTGCCGTTGAAGATGCCCTTAGCACCTCTAGTAAGCGCCCGTGTAACCATCTAGTATGTTTGGATGATTTCCTAAGTTCTAGAATACATTTTTTTTGCTAAATAAAAGCCTACTACCAATTCTTTTAGTTTCCTGATAAGATTAATTAACCTACTATAATTATTGACGGAAGCAAGTCCATTATTGATGCATGCATGCAGCGCAGTTTCTACATGAAGCTTAGCTCCCAAATGCCAATATCTTTTCTTGTCTACTCACAATGGATGGGCTCAAAACGCTAGGCTCCATGGCGTTTGCCCAAACGCCAAGATGCATGGCGTCTGGCAGTGCCACTTCAGCGCCAGCTAGGTTCGTGTGGGCCAGAGCCAAACGCCACAAAGTCTGGCGTCTCCCATGCAAGCCAAACGCCAAAGATGTTGGCGTGACCAAAAAGATCAGATTTAAAATTTCTTCGCAAACGAGGTCAATTCTTGATTTTGTTAGCATAAAAGGTTAGAACAGAAATTTTGTCCTCGCCATGAAGATATACGTGCGTCATACACG